GTTCCTCAAAAAATTAAAAATAGAACTACCATATGATCTAGCAATCCGACTTCTTGGAGTTTATTCAAAGAAATAGAAAATACTAATTTGAAAAGATATAGCATTCCTAGATATATTGCAATATTATTTACAACAGCCAAGCTATGGAAGCAATCTAGCTGTCCATTGACAGATGAATGGATAAAAATGATACTATATATAACAAACTGTTACTCAGCCATAAAAAAGAATGAAATATTGCCATTTGTGTCAATATGGATGGACTTAGAAGGTATTATACTAAGTGAAATAAATCAGGTAGAGAAAGACAAATACTGTATAATTTCACTTATACATGGAATCTAAAAAAAATAAACAAAACAAAAACAAACTCAGATACAGAGAAAAAACTGATGGTTTAGCGGGTTAGAAATGGGAAGGGTTTGGAGTTGGCAAAAGGTGAAGGGGCTGAAGGAAGTACAAACTGCCATTATACAGTAAGTCACAGATGTAATGTACAAGGTAGGGAATCTATAAAAATAAACGTATAATATGCAAATCGACTGAACAACCGAACAGCAGAATGAATGTCTGGACAACCTTCTGGACGACCACACTATGACATGCACTGGCGCCAGGCCAGCCAAGGCGGGTACAATGCGATTGGTTGGGGGGCCTGTCATCACCCCACGATTGCCCCATAAAGGGAGGCCCAGGCCACCCTCTGCGGGGTGATTGATGGGAAGGGGTCTGCGATTGCCCCAAAGAGAGAGGCCCAGGCCACCTTCTGCGGGGTGATCTATCAGGGGGCTCCGTGGAACTGGGAAACTGGGGGTGTCTGGCGGCAGATGTGGGCTGCACTAGGCCAAGGCAGGTGTGGGTAGGGGCAGAGCTGCGAGGTAGCTGGGGTCACTAGGCAGCCAGGGCTTTGAAGGCCTACCCTTGCATGAATTTCACACATCGGGCCTCTAGTATCTACACTAATAAAAGAGAAACATGGTAATTGGCGTACGACCGCTACCCTTCCCATTGGCTAATCAGCATATCCTTATGCAAATTAACTGTCAGCCAAGATGGCGGCCAGCAGCCAGGCAGCTGGAAGCGAACATGAGGCTTGCTTCAGTGACTGCAGACTCCAACGTTCCCCGCCTCACTTGCCGGCCTCTGAGTTGCAACTCTAAGCAACTATGTACTATGTTGCAAATAAGAAGCTAAACAAAACCCTAGAAACCAGCTTTCAGCCTGCCGGGATCTCAGAGCTGAAGTTATACATTGTTTCGATTATAGAATGGCAAACAAACCAGATACGAAGCCTCAGAGCTAGAGCCAGAGCTAAAGCTGGCCCAGAATAAAATAAAAAAAGAGAAAAAAAAGGAGCAGTTGGGAGCTTCAGTCAACAACCGCCAGCCTGAAAGCAGCCCTCAGCCCCTCACCCAGACTGGCCAGGCACCCCAGTGGGGACCCCCACCCTGAAGGGGGTGTGACCAGCTGCAAACAGCCATCATCCCCTCATCCAGGCTGGCCAGGCACCCCAGTGGGGACCCCCACCCTGAAGGGGGTGTGACCAGCTGCAAACAGCCATCATCCCCTCATCCAGGCTGGCCAGGCACCCCAGTGGGGACCCCCACCCTGAAGGGGGTGTGACCAGCTGCAAACAGCCATCATCCCCTCATCCAGGCTGGCCAGGCACCCCAGTGGGGACCCCCACCCTGAAGGGGGTGTGACCAGCTGCAAACAGCCATCATCCCCTCATCCAGGCTGGCCAGGCACCCCAGTGGGGACCCCCACCCTGAAGGGGGTGTGACCAGCTGCAAACAGCCATCATCCCCTCATCCAGGCTGGCCAGGCACCCCAGTGGGGACCCCCACCCTGAAGGGGGTGTGACCAGCTGCAAACAGCCATCATCCCCTCATCCAGGCTGGCCAGGCACCCCAGTGGGGACCCCCACCCTGAAGGGGGTGTGACCAGCTGCAAACAGCCATCATCCCCTCATCCAGGCTGGCCAGGCACCCCAGTGGGGACCCCCACCCTGAAGGGGGTGTGACCAGCTGCAAACAGCCATCATCCCCTCATCCAGGCTGGCCAGGCACCCCAGTGGGGACCCCCACCCTGAAGGGGGTGTGACCAGCTGCAAACAGCCATCATCCCCTCATCCAGGCTGGCCAGGCACCCCAGTGGGGACCCCCACCCTGAAGGGGGTGTGACCAGCTGCAAACAGCCATCATCCCCTCATCCAGGCTGGCCAGGCACCCCAGTGGGGACCCCCACCCTGAAGGGGGTGTGACCAGCTGCAAACAGCCATCATCCCCTCATCCAGGCTGGCCAGGCACCCCAGTGGGGACCCCCACCCTGAAGGGGGTGTGACCAGCTGCAAACAGCCGGCCGGGCTGGGGGCCCCCCCCTTCCCCCCCCCCCCAGTGCACAAATTTTTGTGCACTGGGCCCCTAGTCCTATATAATAAAAGGCCAGAGACCATAACGGCATCATGATCATAACGACTGTTAGACCAGAACCACCACGGTCCCCTCGCCGGGCTGGCCCCACCCCCCAGCAAGCGGTTAGGGGCGATTCTGCAGGCAGGCAGAGTGGTTAGGAATGATCAGGTAGACAGACCAGCGGTTAGGGGTGATCAGGTAGGCAGGCCAGTGGTTAGGGGTGATCTGGCAGGCAGGCAGAGGTGGTTAGGGGCAATCAGGCAGGCAGGCAGAGGGGTTAGGGGCGATCAAGCAGGCAGGCATGTGAGGGGTTAGGAGCCAGTGGTCCCAGATTATAAGAGGGATCCTGGATTGGAGAGGGTGCAGGCCAGGCTGAGGGACACTCCCCGCCCCCATGCATGAATTTCATGCACCAGGCCTCTAGTAGTTAATAATATCATAATAACTATTGTAACATGGTTACTTGACTTATTGAGACAATCACCTTGCAAGGTATATTTACATCTAATCACTGTGTTATCAGTACACCTGAAACTAATATAATATTACATGCCAACAATAATTAAAAATAAATTTTAAATAAAGCAAATATGTCCAGAAACAGCTCTGAACTGTGTTTTTATACATTTTACCTCTAGCCTGAAGACCATTTTATACCATAGATAGTAGCAATGAGATATTTTAAAGACAAACTATGGCAGTTGAATATCATTTAACTACTTTATCAAAAGTAGTCCATTCTCACATCCCTTCATGCTCACATGTTCCTAGGATTCTGACTTTAGGGGGAACCAGCACACATCATCACTTTCTAAGAACACACCTTGATGACACCCTAAGCATTTTTCCTTGCTAACAATATGCCTGCAGTGGCTTGTTTGTAGTGAGGGAACAAGAAACCCCCGCAGAATGCCTCACATGTACATGTTTCCACTGAACAGAAAAGATGAGTCCACAGGCCGGGTGTGCGGCGGAGACCCTGACTCAGGAGGAGGAGGAGGAGCAGCAGACGCGGAGGATGATGGCGAGGCGTTCCAAAATCATCGAGGAGCTGGTACAGACGGAAAGGGACTATCTCAAGGATCTAGAGCTGTGCATTAAGGAAGTGGTTCAGCCCTTGAGAAATAAACAGGTAAATGCAATTTTGAACCCCACCGGCCGTCCTAAATAGGATCACCAGCTCCAGGAAATCAAAGCACCCACCTTTATCAGTGGTAGCTTCTGCCGCAGTGTGGGGGGTGGGGTGGGGAGGGTGACGGGCCTTTTCCCTGGGTCCCCAGGTTTAGGTAGGCGGACAGTATCGTCAGACTCACTTCTTGTGTCAGTAGAGGGACACCTGAATCTAGAAATTTTCTTTCTTTCTTTCTTTCTTTCTTTCTTTCTTTCTTTCTTTCTTTCTTCCTTTCTTTCTTTCTTTCTTTCTTTCTTTCTTTCTTTTCCTCACTCAAGGATATTTTTCCATTGATTTTTAGAGATAGTGGAAAGAGAGGGGGAAAGACACAGAGAAACATGGTTGTGAGAGAAACATATCGATTGGTATGCAACCTCTATACCTGCTTGCCCTTGGCCGGAATCAAACCCGGACCCTTGGGTCTGCAGGCTGACGCTCTATCCATTGAGCAAAACTGGCTATGGCTGGAAATTTCTTACTGGTTCCGTAAGAGTGGAATAACATTCAAAGTCATGATAAAAATTTGCTCTCTAGTTCCATTGCTAAGTATATCAAATAATTTTTGGTGTGTTGTCTTTTATTTAATATAAACTAGCTGCATGTGATGTAACTTCTATTCTGGCAGATATTAATGCTTATCAACAATGTTTTCATTTATGTATCTCTTAAAATACTAATTTTAAATGTACATGGCATCCGACTCTACTACTACCGACCCTCCCTATGTTGCAGTCCCACCAGTCACTTCTGTTCTTTGAAAAATTTAGAACGTAGCCCACTGTTCTCTCCCCTCCCCTCTTTTTCACTCTTCTCTCCTCTTCTCTTTCCCCGCCCCTCTTCTCTCCCCCTCCCCAATAATGCAGACATAAATTTTAGTTGATTTTAATATTCAGGCAAGTGGTCCACATAGCCTCCAAGCCTCTCACTCAGTTCCTTGCCTTGCTCATGCCCAGACATCTTTCCTCGAACCTATCTCACTCTGAGGACATACCCTAGAACTGCCATTACCAATAACTTCATCTTCTGAATTTCAGGCTTACTGTTTTCCAACCCTCACATCCTCGCTCACAGCCCACTCCCACTGGAACTCTCTGAAAAATTTTTGATGCCACCAGGATCTCCAAGCTATTGATCTGACCACCACCTTCCTTTTCACTGTTGATCAAGCTCACACTTGGTTTAGTTTCCATGAGTCCTTCATTATAATTACTCCTGGCCGATAAACTCAGTTCCCTTTTGTCTTTCTCTTTACATTTACTGTCTGAAAAACACTTCATGAAGGTCATTTTTTCTGCCTACTTCACATTATTACCCACACGTTTGAACCAATCTCTTAAAATTCATGGCCATTTTCAAGTGAGGCCTCTGGTACGTCTCTGAAAGGATTCTTTCACATTTTCTTCTTTCTCCTCATACCTTGCTCTCTCTTATCTCCTAACTCTCAGCTAACATCCTTTCCCATCATTTCACCAAGAAAATAGACACAATCAGCAAATGCACACACCCTCAGCACCAAATCTACCCACCTACCTGAGTCTCTACCACATAACTTGGCTCGTGGTTCCTGCTTCTCATTAAGGATAACCTCTCTCCTAACCCAGTGGACCTATCCCCTCAGGCTTCCTCTAGGACAGTGGTTCTCAACCTTCCTAATGTCGAGACCCTTTAATACAGTTCCTCATGTTGTGGTGACCCCCAATTTCGTTGTTACAAATTGAACATAATTAAAACATAGTGATTAATCACAAAAAAATATGTAATTATATATGTGTTTTCCAATGGTCTTAGGCGACCCCTGTGAAAGGGTCATTCGACCCCCAAAGGGGTCGCGACCCACAGGTTGAGAACCACTGCTCTAGGCTTTCATGCCTGCAGTGTCCTTTCTCCCCTGCATCATGGCCTTTACCCTCCCTATTGGATCTTTTTCATCTTCATTACCTGCTATCATAAAACAAAAACATAAAAGAATTATCTGTATTTTCCCTTTATTTCTTTCTCTTTTAACTTGCATATAAAATATTTAATATGTATAAAAGCATATGTGGCTAAGATGTGTTTATTTCAAAGTAAGCACATTTTACCAAAAATCTGTCCCTGTGATGTATAAAAAAAGACTAAATATATAAGGAAAATATTTATTTTGATTCATAATCTATTTTTGTATCAAATTGAATAAGGAGTTTATTTAGTATAAAAATGTTCTCAGTTTTAAACCACCTACTACACAGGTGAGTTAAACTGGCCCCATCGATACAAATGCCATTGCTGAGCTGTACTCTTAGAGATGCTCTCTCATTTTTGTTTTTGTTGTTTTTCTTATTTTTTGCTTCCTACATAACTCATAAGCAATCCTCAGAATTGGTGTTTCGGACCATGTAAAATAAAACGTTACCATTATGATGACATGTAGTTTATTTATTTAGCATGTTTAACTTTTGCTCTCAGTGCTTTGAATTATAGTTCTCAGAATTCTAACTCATGTTTCCTTTGTTATTCTATTAAGATTGTCTATAGCTTGTTGATTTGTCATATCTGACACTTCTCTCTGGTTGGCTTTCTCCCAATACTCTGTCCTCCTCATTGCAGAATTAGTTTCAGTCTAGTAGTCTATTTGTCCCCATCCACTAATGTTGTAATAGCAATTATTTTAAGGTTTCTCAGAGTTCTCACCTCACATCCACTTTCCCCCCACTTCTTAAAGCTCTTAACCTTTGATTAAGTAAATAAGGGCTCAGGAACTCACATGACTGTTATAAACATTTATACGAGTGCTGAGGTAGTTAATTGATGCCACCAGATCATGAACTTGACCAACTTTAAAATGTTCATTAGCTCCTTCATGTCCTCACTTCCCTCCTAACTGTTTAAATACCATGGCCTTTGCACATCGGCCACCTGTCATCAGTTAGTGTCAACATATATAAATTAACACATACAGTTGTCATGTAACCATGGGAATAATCTGCAAGCCATGCTTCGATAAACCCGAGACAACATAAGCAAATATTTTACATGCATAGGTTAGGCTGGGAGAGAGGTTGGAAGTCATCTGATCTGTGCCTTTTCTCTGTGCCTGTCCTTTCTGTTGTTGAGAAGACTGTCTCGATCCATTGTGTTGCCTCCATATCTTTTCACTCCCAGAAGAAACAAATCCATTTGTGCAGGTGAAAGTTAGAAGATGGAAGCTGAAAACTGAGAAAAGCACTGAGCTTATCTGAGTGAACCTGCATGAAGGGATCAGTGTTCAAATAAATGTCTAGACCCAATGCTTGACTGATAACTGTTCTGTTACAAACCCTAATCTTAATTCAAGGTTTCCTATAAACAAACCTTCACCTAACTGAAAGCAGGGCCAAGCTCGGCAGTTACGACATCTTTAATAGCAGCATTGTGAGACGTTTTGCAAAGAAGGCAAAAGTTTTCCACCACAGTCAGTGTTGAAACATTTAGTGGGAAAACAGGTTCTAGTTATTTGTTATCTGAACAGGGCAATAAGAGAGACTACATTTTGGGCAGGAAGTCAAAATAAACAAAAATCATATTAATCTGACAATGGAAAGGGGTTTTATGTGTAAGGAAAGGACCAAAAGCTGATTGGGAAAAAAAATAGAGGAATTGGAATTTAAATACATGTGGGTTTTTTCTTTTTTTTAATTTTTTTAAAAATTCACATAGCACTAAAGTACCAAATATTTCAAGGAGGTGATAGGGTTTTATAGCTGCCCAATTTCCTTCTCCAGAGACAGACACCATTACCAGCTTCTTTTTACCCTTCCTAGTGTATTCTATGTATAAGTATATATGTTTGGATGCACATTTGGTAGATTTTTATTTATTTACTAGAGGCCTGGTGCACAAAATTCATTCACTCCCAGCCCAGCTCTCAGAGTCCCACTTCTCCATAAGAGAAATTCAGACAATGACATGTAATGGAATTCGGCTACTCCCCCTGAACAAAGGACAGAATTACAGTTAAGAAAGTTCACTGAAATACAAGATAAAAGAATCAAGACAGAAATATTACATCTAGTAATTATTAAAATACGCCCTGCTTTCATTTGTAGGCAGATACATAGATAGATAAATCCAGCTTTTCAAAGCTGTTTATTAAAACGTTGCCTGCTTAACAAATAGAGCAAAACACGGGTGATCAAATACCTTCTGTCACGAATTTTAAAGTGTCACAGAAAAACTCTTGTCAGAACTGTCTTCTCTGGCTGTCAGCTTCACTAAAAGACTTTTACTGTTGTCAGAAATAATAGTCATTCATTTTTGTTTAATTGACGACTATGCAATTTTTCCCTCTCATTTTTTTCCTATCACCCAGTTACTCCTTTAGGACTATTTTTTAAGTACTTTTAGGTTCACAATAAAGTTGAGGGGCAAGGTACAGAGATTTTCCATATACTCCTTGTCCCCACACATGCATAGCCTCCCCCGTTATCAACATCCCCACCAGTGTTAAGTTTGTTACAACGGATAAGCCTACACTGACACATCATTATCATCAAAAGTCCATAGGTTCACTCTTGGTAGTGTTCCTTCTGTGGGTTTTGACAAATATATCATAACATGTATCCATTGTCATGGTAGTTTCACACCCTAAAAATCCTTTGTGCTGCACCTGTTCGTTCTTCCCTCCCCACCGACCCCTGGCAACCTCTGGTCTTTTCACTGTCACCATAGTTTGCCTGTCATATAGTTGGAATTGTAGCTTCTCAGATTGGCTTCTTTCACTCAGCATTATGCATTTAAGATGTTCTGTGTCTTTTCATGGATTGATAGCTCAGTTCCTTTTAGTGCTGAAAAATCTTCCATTGTCTGGATGTACCACAACTTATTTATCTATTTACCTACTGAAGGACAGCATGGTTGCTTCTAAGTTTTGGCAATTATGAATAAAGCTGCTATAAACAGCCACATGAAGGTTTTTGTGGACATAAGCTCAGTTCATTTAAGTA